CCACTATATATATATATATATGATGTTCTATTTCTATATGATGCATTTAGGGGTCAAAATTGGAACGAAAATTTCAATTTCCGCCGGTAATGATTTGAGAAGTTTCGATTTTAGAACATTTTTTTTCACTGTGACTTCCAAAATTTCGATTTTCGATATTTTCCAAGTTTTTTTGGATTGAAATTGGTGTTATATAAAAAATTAAAATTTTACGATTTTCATCCCTCAAGTTTGTAGTGATTTCACATTTGGTCCCCGTGTTCACATAAAACACATTTGATCCCATATTTCAATAATTTGACCTTTTTTTGCCATTTCCGTAATTTACCGTTAGTCCATCATTTACGATAGTGATGGGCACACGTTTGATTCCGTTAGTTTTAATGTAAAATTTATGGAAATGACTAAAAGTGTTGAATTTTTGAAATATGATGGACCAAATGTGTTTTTTGGGAATATGGGGACCAAATGTAAAATCGGTACAAACTTGAGGGATGAAATGTATTTTTCCCTATAAAAAATATTTGGAATTTTCGATTTCCGATCTGATTTAATATCCGATTTTGATTCAAAAATTCCTTTTTTTTTTGTTCGAAAAATACTCCAATAGTGATGTCAAGATTTAAATTAGGGAAATTACAGTTTTCTTCCCTCGAGTTTGAACTGATTTCACATTTGGTCCCAACGTTCACAAAAAAAACACATTTGGTCTCTCATATCTTATATATAAAAGAAAGAAACGCTGGGCAACCCTAAAAAACCCTAATGGTATTTCTGTAATTATTTATTTTTAATATTTTTTCTCTACTAATTTCTAACTATAATTTTTTAAAATTATCAAAATTAAAACTAACCCGTAAAGAATCCTATCTTATTGCTACTTATGTAATTATTTATTTTTAATATTTTTTCGGTACTAATTTTTTAACTATAATTTTCAACAATTATTGATCTCCTAATTGTCATCAATATATCTCAAATCTTAAGAGATAAAGCTAGAAATTCAATATGAATAATGCTACATTATTAAATTTTATTATATTAGTATACTATATTTTCTTATTATATATTAAATTGATTATTTTTTTCACTATTTAAATAATATCCCGTGCATCGCACGGGGGGAAAATGCTAGTTTCTATAATTTAACACCTTTGGTCATTTCCGTCAGTTAATACAGTAAGGTCAAATTACGAAAACCCCCCTTATGTTTGGATAATTATAGCCACCCCTCAACTATGTATTATCTTACGAAAAAACCCTCAAGAGGTAAATTTATGGATGTTAATTCGGTAAAAAATCGAACCGAAATTTCGGTACGCCAACATTTCATACCGTTTACCGAACCGAATATACGATTGGATTCGGTAAATAACCAAATTATGTAAATTTTATTGAAAATATTTAAAAGGAGGGGGCGGCTGCCGGCTGTAATTACCCAAACAAGAGGGGGCTTCGTAATTTAACCTTACCTCAGAGGTGACCGTAAGTTGCCCTAATTTTTTATACTAATAAACATATGGAAAATATTTCACCAATTAAAAATGGCGTATGTGAATTTAATAGAAATATAATAACCACAATTTTTTTTCATCATAAACATAATTTACATTATATATATATATATATTCTTATAATTATTTATTATATAAGTTTCTGTTGTGTTGCATTTAAATAATAATTAATAAATAAATAAAAAGAAAACTCACTAATCAAAAGGCCCCTATCCGAACATCTCGGGCCTAAACCATAAGAACCGGTCCGCCCGGCTTTCGCCCCTTTCTCTCTCTAAAATACAACACCACCTTTTTTTTTTCTTTTTAATAATTAATAAATTATTATATTATTTTCATCTCATCTCCCTCCTTCCCTCTCTCTCCAAACCCTGATTCTCTCTCTATTCATACATATATATATATACATACATACATTATATATATATATATATATACATACATGCAAACGTATACATCCATAATAATTATACGTGTATGCAATGTATAATTCGAGAACCATTCCTTAGAGATCCGATCTCTTATTGATTAACCGGCCACAACGCCGCCGTGAGCTTTCTATCTCCGATCGTTTCCGGTTCTAATTTGGATTTTTTAATTTTTTTTTAAATTAGGGTTTCTTCTTCTGCTGCAGATCTCATACGATCGAGAGAGAAAAAAAAATGTCGCTTATGCCGAAAAGCGAATCGGTTCAAATCCGCGAAGTGTGGGCCCACAACCTCGACGAAGAATTCGACCTGATCCGAGAAATCGTCGACGAGTACCCCTACATCGCCATGGACACCGAGTTTCCCGGCATCGTTCTCCGGCCGGTCGGAACTTTCCGGAGCGCGAACGACTACCACTACCAAACCCTAAAGGACAACGTCAATCTACTCAAGCTAATCCAGCTCGGCCTCACTTTCTCCGACGAGAACGGCAATCTCCCCGAGTGTTCCGGCGCCGGCAAAAACCGGCACTGCATCTGGCAGTTCAACTTCCGCGAGTTCGATCCGAACGAGGACGTGTTCGCGAACGACTCGATCGAGCTGCTGAGCCGGAGCGGAATCGATCTGGCGAGGAACACGGAGAACGGGATCGAATCGCGGCGGTTCGCGGAGTTGCTGATGTCGTCGGGGATCGTGCTGAACGAGAGCGTGTACTGGGTGACGTTCCACAGCGGGTACGATTTCGGGTATTTGATAAAGCTGGTGACGGGGCAGAAGCTGCCGGAGGAGCAGGAGGGGTTTTTCGGGCTGATCGACGTTTATTTTCCGGTGGTTTACGATATAAAGCACCTGATGAAGTTTGTGAACAGCTTGCACGGCGGATTGAACAAGCTGGCGGAGCTGCTGGAGGTGGAGCGGGTCGGGGTTTGCCACCAGGCCGGGTCGGATAGTTTGCTGACGTGTTGCACGTTTTTCAAACTCAAGGACAATTTCTTCAGTGGTACTTTGCACAAGTATTCTGGTGTTTTGTATGGTTTGGGTATTGAGAGTTGATAATTCTTTTTTTTTTTTTTTTTTTTATTATTTTTATTATTTATTATTTTTTTTTTTGAATTTTGCAGTTGCCTATTGGTAGGGATAGGAATAATTCATTTATAATATTGGCTAATAAATAATAATTCTTATTAATATTTACTACACCTGGTTAATATATAATAAAATCGTTACTCTTTGGAATCCACGACAAATTTATGCTACACCCGATAAAATGTACACAAGATTTATCTTCAAGTACCAACGTGCATTTGTATATCTTTATTTATGAATGGTTAAAATCTACTCAACGTATTGAACCAGTAGTATATATTAACATGCAAAAGAAATATTGAATCGGAGTCGGTAATTATGGCAAAATGGATTCGTATTTTGAAATCACGAGTAAGGAGAAATAATATATAATGAAGGATCTTGCTTGTAGTTTTGGAGTGACGGTTTTGTAGATGCTACATCTAGTGAAATATACCAGATGATTCTGCACCATTGATCTACACGTAATAACACACACCCATGTGTATATGTGCTTAGTAGATAGTTATTTGTATAGATCTATGGTACAAAATTATCCAGTGCATTCCAACGAGTGTAGCATCTCATAGACCGTGACGGAGTGACTATCGTTAACTTGGGTGAATTAAAAATAAATGAGAAAAGGTATATGATGATATAAATGAGACATGAGAATTCAATAGCCATGGGAAAAAGAAAAAAACATATATATAGAAATTACAAAATTTCACTTTTATTTGCCTAAATACAATGATCTAAATTGAGCTACAATTCCAACTTTTTTCATCTTATGTGTACTTCGTTTGGCGCATCAACACAAATTTCCCTCCGGTGATCGATCGATCGGCTTTTCTCCTTTTACCCAAACCGTGCAACAAATCCGAACAGTTTCAATGTGCAAGAAGACCCGAAGCAGGTTATCAAGCGGATCCAGCCGAGGGCACAAGCAGAGGTTAATTGTAGAGGATCACCACCATGCACCACATAAGTCAAACAACCAACCTTAGCTTTCAGTAATTCAATCACTAGATTCACAAATATCCTCGATTTCATCTGGCACATGCAACTTCTCAATGGCAGCCTGTTTTGAATAGATACCAATATAATTAAGGTTCTGTAAAAGCTAATTCGTTTTAAAACTCGCAAAAAATTTCCATTTTGGAACAACATTTTTCATTAAGAATCCAGAGGGTTCCGGTTTCTTAGTTTTCCAATTTATTTTCTGGAACGGAATTGGATTACATATTATTTTCTGATTTTTCTGATTTACTTTTGGAACAAAATTGAAAATTTGAAATACAAGTTTCTTTGTTCCAATAAAAAAAATTATATATATATCAGATTCCAATCCGGAAATTTCCGATTTTGGAAAAAGCTTTTTGGTTCCAATTTTTATAATTCTGGTTTTCGATTTTTCCAATGTTTTTTTTTTGGACCGGAAGTGGGATTAGTTTTCCACTTCCAAAAAAAAATGATTTTTTTTTTCGAAAGTGCTAATTTTGATCCATCTGATTTCCACACCTAACCCTACGATTAATCCGGTAATAATAATAAAAAACGTCATAGTTGCAATAAAAAAACTTGTTACCTTAATAGCAGCAACATCAGTTGCAGACGGTTTTAAATCCAACGCTAGTCCGAAATGAAGCATGGCCTTGTCGTACATATTACGCCGCTTGTAAATGCTACCCATTAATGCATAAACACTACTCTCGCATGGAGCGTACTCTTTGAGTTCCTCAAGTACCCCTAAAGCCCCGTCAAGATTTTCCATGCTCACAAGAATATTTGCCTTCTGATAGAGAGGGAGAGGATTCTTCTTATCGGCTAAAACAGCTCTTTCCATCATCTCTAGTGCTTCATTATTTCTCTGTTAATTAATAACGACGTCAAAAAAACTAATCGCAAATAACAGAAATCTTTTTTTTTTAACTAATATAGTTTTAATCATCTGACCTTCAATGCATGCAAAGCAGTTCCGAGGTACGACATTATAACAGAGGAAAGTGGATTGATTTGTGAAGCCATACGGAAATGATGCTCTGAGAACTCAAACTTCTCTTGTCGGAGATATACCATTCCAAGTCCATACCAAGCATTGTAGTGCCTTGAGTCTATCCGAAGGGCAGTTTGGTAACTCTTAATACCATTTTCGAAATCCTCCAAGGCAACATATCTGTTAAACGAAATCGATTTAAAGTAATAATCAGCAGTGTGTTACATCTAAAACGGGGGTATATAGTGATTGTGATACGTACTCGTGACCACATAAGGTATGGGCATATGCAAATCTGGAGTTTAGTTGCACAGATCGTTGGAAATTCTTCAGAGCAGTTTCGTGGTCTTTCTGTAAGCTATAGCAATTTCCCATTGCGCACCTGCCATATCATGTCCAGAAAATCACAAAATCAAGAAACGAAACAAGTCGACAGCAGTAGTAAGTACTACACGTACATGAAATATGCGTATAAATCCACATTATCAATATCTACGATCCAAGTATGAAAGCTAAAAACGTTAAATGCAGGTGAAGGTACCATGATTGAGGAGCTAATCGGTCAGTGGATATCAGCTCTTGAGCCAGGTAACTCAACTTCATATCTTCCTTCAGATGCTAGAACATGGAGGCAACAGTTGCGTCAATATATAGTAAGAAATATATATCGAGCAAAAAGGGCAACTTAATACAATGACACCTAAAAAAATCAAGCAACAAATATTTTGACTCAGAGAACCCCGAACATTACCACAGTTCAAAATTCTGAAGTTCTTACATTATAACAACACTCTAAATGACAATAAATTACTTCATCGACTAAATCCCGAGCATAAATTTTACAGATGCTTGAACTATTAAGACTACTAAAAAACAGAAGGCATTCGTTCTAGATTGGAACGAGTTAGCCAGCATATCATTATCCTCATAATCATAAATATCCATGATTGCAGCAACAAAAATTTTGGGAAAAAAATAAAGAACTCACATATAGAACTGTAGAATATATATCCATTCCCTCCAGACTGTAAGGAGAGGCAATACGTGCAAGACTGAAAGCGCGATTGGCTTCAAGGTAATCAACCAATTCAAAATATGCTCTCCCGACCTGTCTTTCAGTGAATGTAAAGTCCACGAAATATTAAATGTCAAAGACTGAAGTAAAGAATAAATAAATGCAGACAATTTTGTGATATCTATTTATTAAGCTGTATTAAATAAGTTTTCAAAAGATGAACATGGTAGAAAGTTCTTTCTCTACCAGTACATGTCCATAAAAGAAATAAACTAATCAGCCTGGTGAATGAAACCAAAAATGATAAAGCAGGCAACTCCCCAAACTATTTCAGACGCACAATCTCTCCGCCATTAACAAGTATTTGTTCAAGTGGACCCTGGTCTCCTTCAATATTTTTGACAGATCACTTTTTATTAAATTTCGTTTCCATATTAAGTAAGAGAAAATCAATATATTTGAGATGAGGGAAAGGTAAGAGAAAAACATATAATTTACGCCATAAGAAAATATAATACAGTAGTGTTTCGGAATTGTATTGCATATATTAATAAGGACGGTCTATATTGTTAAATATTAAAATTCTATATGTGATGTAGGGTAAAGTTTGCCTATTTTCTTGTGTTCTAGAGGTGGAATGGCCTGACAAAGTAAAACAAAGTATGAAAATGTGATATCTCTGTAAAATGTGGAAAACAATGAAAATTCAACAATCTACCTGAGAAAGCACCCATCCGGTATTATAATGCTTTTGTGGAAGTTTCATATAGATATTAAGTGCATCCTGGTCCGAACCAAACATAATTATTAGTATGGTGAGAAAATTAATGTCATTATACTTTTCTTAAAAAGAGTGAAGTATTATTACCTGGCATCTGCAGAGACAGGAAAGTCTGAAACCTTCCCCAAGAAGCCTTAAAAGACTCAATACATCAGAAGCACCACCTATGACTTTCGAGCTGCTCAAAGCACCTGAGGACCTTATTGCTCCTTCTGGTTCAACGGACCCGTTACCGCCACATGGGGATGAGCTCGAATTACTAATATTTAATCTAGATTCGTCACATATTTCTTGATGACCCCCTAAGAAAGAAAGATTTCTTCAATTAGTCGGGGTATAAATCACAAGACAACAAACATTAACCGACTAATTAATAATAAGACAGTTATATTGATTAAGGTATTTCGACAAATATCAGTTGATCATTGACAATGGTTACTATGAAGTTACACGTGCAGACATCTAAAAGTAAATCACCCTTGCAACTCTTAGCTTAAAACACATTAGAAACTACACGAAAACTGAAAACCACATGTAAAGCCAGTGGATCAGTTTAAGTTATATATGATAAAATATCACGCAGAAAGATGTCGACTGTCTACAACAATTAGATAACCGTATTCACTCCAATATTGTCAGATGCAGCAGTTTGAAAATAATCCGATCACATAAATCTAAGCTATTTTTCTAAATATCATCATGTATACAAGTTAATACATAATCGATACTCCATTAAAAAAATTAAAGACTAAAATGATTAATTTGATGAAACAAATTTAAAAAGTTTAATTAATCACCTTCATCTGCATTCTCGCTTGCCCATGACTGACCCTTTCTAATTGTCAAAGATCTTGAGGACAACATGCCTGACTTACAACCTCCAAGATACTTAGAAGAGTGGCTTATTAAATTCCCAGAAATTATGGACGTACTTGAACTTGTGTTAACAGATTCTCCAGCGAGTCTCATGCTTCGTCGCTGCCCAGAGTCTGAAAATAGCCTCTCAGATACCTAAATGCATAGGAATTACCAACTCTAAGTCAATAAAAGAACCGAAAGAAGTACTGAAAATAAACAAATGAAATACGCAGGATTTAATGAGGGTCGAAGCAGAAAGCCAAAAAAAGTAAGCAAATTTTACTCGCAAAGGCTGAGCCCTCCAGACAAAATAATTCCGAAGGAAAAAACTGGGAGTTGAAAGCAAACTCAAATGGTCTAAAGTGTTCTACAAGTTAATTATCCTAGGAGGAAATAATCAATACGGAATACTATGAAAAAGTGCTTGCATTTTAATATTACCATCAAACCATAAATATTTTAAGTTGGAGGAGAGGGGAATAAAGGAAACAGATTATGAAAACCACGTAGGATGATGAAGAGAGTGGTGTGTGTGAGTGTGTGTGTGTGTGTGGGGGGGGGCAAGAAACAATGAGTAAGGTACAAAAGGAGACAATTATTTGAAACTGGTGCCAAAATGAAAGGAAAACATGCATCAACTGATGATTGTGGAAGATGTACTCAGGGAAACATCAACATGTCCTAACCTTTCTTAACTTTCCTTCGTCGACAAATTTTCTTCTAGGGCCTGGAATGGCAGTGTTCACCGTTACTCGTGGAGTGCTATCAGCTCCGTATGTTCTCGTGCTTGGACCATTTGGCAGTGCATTTCTACACAAGGGAGGTGGAGCAACACCTGACAACTGCAAGATATACAATAGTTTGAGGACAATCATAAGATAAATGTAGAAAGAAAATGAAAAAAGACAACTGCATCTGTCATATCATAATTGAATGTGATGCACTTAACTGTGCAACCGAAGATCAAACTCAATTGAATCGGAAAAGAAATTCTGTAGCATGATCCCTAAGTTTAGGGTACAAGTGAACGATTTCCAGAATCTTGGGGTGGAGAGGGGGTGGGGGGTGAAGAAATCTCCATAACAATGTTCGGTAAATGCCAGGTTCTAAACTAACACGGAGTGGTAGATAGGATGAGAACAATTATAACTTCAACTGGGGTTGGTGCATCGTACAAGAAACAAATATATATTTCTCCTAGAACAGAAAAAAAATGCACTGGACCAAGACTAAGCCCATATGCTATACATGATTATACCTGTGACTGGGCAGCCATCGGAGAAGGAGTATTGTAGAACGGCAAACTAGTGGTGGGCCCACCATTTAGAGGCTGATTGGATATTGTTCCATGATGGTTTCCGGATACATCTCGTAGGTTATGGCCGTGTATATGCTTTTGTTTCCTAGGACTAACATCTTCTGAGCCTAAACTTCTGTTCATAGAAATTTCATGCTCCTCGTTTTGCGCCTGAAAACTCTGGGAAGTCGACCCTTGATGTATGTATTGCTTTTGAATGCACAATGAAGCTCCTTCATCAAAGACTTTAGGAGCTTCTTCAGCCGCACCTGAAAGATACCAATTATCCAGTTACTAAAATATGGATTGATAGGCAAGACGTCGGAAAGATAATAACTGAAGCAGCAGTGCAGCACATCAGCCATTTCCTTCACCAGACAGGAAATAAAACATGTACAGAGATTCACAGAAAATTATCAAATTAATATACTTCATACACACCTAATACACAGAGTTCCTCATAAGCAGCCCATAGTAACGGATCCAGTGACAAAGCCTGGTTGAAGTGATTTATAGCACTCTGCCTTCTATCTGTATACCTGACACAAATCAGATGATAATAAGTTTAAATTTTGAAGTACAGAAACATTATTTTTAAATACAAATTGATATATCAAAACCCAGCATCTATTAAAACTATGCCCGTGGAAGGGCATACAGGGAAAAGATAAGACATAAGGTTACACACCCAAACAAAAAGACTTGAACTACATGACAGAAGAATTGTCTTGTTACTTCCAGCTAGCCACTACTCTTATCTCACTACTTTTGCGTTCTATAAAATGCCTAATATTGCTCTCTTATTAGCTAATTATCCAGCTTGAAGTAAGACTAGTTTATGCTAGAATGAACCAGAAAGAAAACCTTAATCACATTTTGCAGGTCACCTGAATTTTTGCAACTCTTCAGCAGTCATACATCAGAACATGCTTCCATGTTTTATATTTCTTTAACTTAATCATGTTCAGTAACATAAATTTGTTCTAGACTACATAACCACCATTCCATGATACACCATGAACACTGTTTCCCCTCATTCTCCTGTTGAACGGATGTCTCCAAGACAGACGTTTCGAAATAGAATTGCTAGTTTTTTATGACTGAGAAAGAACTTTAGAGTCGATTAATGGGACTCTTGCTGGAGGAATTAATGGGACCAAAACTTAGCTAAGTGGAAATATGATTAACTGGTCCTATGATAAAAATTAAAAAGATATGTTTATCAATTGTCATTTGAAGTCAACTATACCCAATTATGCAAAACAAAGGGTCTTCAAGGTAAAATCTGCAGCACAATTCTCCAAATATAAGAAGAGTGCCGCTTTAAAGTAGTGAATTGTCCCAGCTTTTATGTCACTAAGGTTTCGCCTAAGTGGTATTGGAGCCTCTCCCGCAGTGGGGTTGGGTGATAGGTCGAGGATTTGAATCCATTGAGTGTCTTGCAATAGCCATTCATAAGGACAAATTTAAAAAAAAAAAAAAAAAAAAAAACACATGCACACACACACACGAAAAGAAAAAATGTCCAAGTTTTTAATTCATGCTTGTAAGATTTATTAACAGTGGCACCAACTAGTCTCAACATGATATTATTATATGTTAATAGTTACGTGGAACTATAGCCTAAGGATCCATTTGATAGGATTTATTAAACCTGATATATAACTAAGCAAGGCTAATATTTCATTTGCAATATGGCAAGGGACGATAATCTATTGTTGGCCCAACACATAATCAAGCAATTTGCTTCCGGACTTCATGTGGAATCCACTATAATTATGTTTCCTATATTGCAAATGCAATTAACCGATGAAACACTCTATTTGGTAACATCAATTATCATAAAGGGAAAAATATTGAAAAGAGAAAATAATCACAATTTTCTAGTACTTGCCACTAAACACAAATAAAGGTAGCAATATTCAGTGCAACCATATCCTAAGTGATCACATCCTTCCTATTGAACGAGGCCTAAATGGAAAGTATATCCCCGTCTTAGGTTAATCGATTTAAATCAAATGAAAAGGATATAGACCCTCAAGTGAAATTAAGCATTAAAGAATAGGATATAACATGTTTAAAACCTGTATACAAGTCCAAGAAGGTAATGCCCGGCAGCTCCATTTGGAACCTGCAACCAGTAAGAGAATAACTGACTGCTCCATCCATACGAAGGAACAATTGAAAATATAACATTTGAAGACAAAAGAAGTAATATAACCTTTACGGTAAATTTGAAACTCAAGTATGGGCATAGTGAGTGACAATAAAATTAATATCCATGCTTACTTGTCACAAATTACATGAGCATACCTCTGGACAGGACTCATTAGGGGATAATGCTGCTTCTGCTTCATTCAATAGATCCATCTGAAAGCATGACAGTGCGAACAAGTAACGGGATTGAGCCATATGTGTTCCTTCAAAGAAAAGACAGCATACAAACAACGGAATAAGGCACTTCTCAAGAAAAGAGAAATAATTTTCAGTTATGGAATTTCACGAACATATGAGGAAGCGGTGTGATGTGTTTCATCTAAAGAGGATCGCTCGGTCAAATTTAGTTAAATCTAGACAAACATTGAGCGGCATACCTTTTAAAATGTGGTAAGCACAGTGCGCCTGATTGTTTTGCAAGTAACAGCTAGCAAGCAACTGCATATTTTTCTGTATTGAACAAAAATAAACAACATGAAAACGAAGATGTTGCAGCCAAGATTTAGTCTAATTTACATAGTTCAAATTTGGCATCCTTATAATCGGTTAAGAAGGCGTAAACCCAAAAGTCATCGAAAAAAAGAAAATCTTTCCCATTCCAACGTGTAAAGTTATAAGCCAACGCCACTTCCACCATATACGACAAAATTCCAAGTTAAAACCTTGGAGTTCCAACTTTCAACCAAGCCATCGTTTGACTGACTAGGTCAAAAACCTAACTTTTACTACCGTTTAACAAGAACTAAAATTTGAATAACAAGCATTGGATCTATAGTTATATACCCAGCCTCTCCTCACTCAATTACGGAACACGGAAATAATAAATAAAACTCCCAGTGTCCTTAGAATCTATCATTTATATAAAATAAAGACCAAACTGCAATAAGTGCATCATTCTCAGCTATGCATCTCAAACCTGAACCGAGAGCAATTAAAACAAAAAATAAATAAATAAATAGCTGTAATGCACCAACAGACTGAATTATGAAGACATAAGTTAAAACAAATTAAAATTACAGCAGCAAGTGGAAAACGCTCAGCTAACCTCAGAAGGAAACTCGGCGCAGAGGCGCTCGCACATGAAAATGGCATTACGGTAAATTAAGTGCTGCAAGCTGTTCCGAACACAATCTGTAAGAATAGCCTCCATTTATTCCGGCACGTACAGGCGGGATTGAGAGAACTCTTCAATCAGCCAATGTGTATACTTTTCAAGCCACCCACGAAGAAATTCACCCGATTTACGAAATATAATTGAATCGGAAAAAAAAAATCAAAAAAAAAAAAAAGGACGAAGACAGAAAATTCCGGGGGATTATGCAAAGTCGGGGGATGGATTTGAATAATCAAGCATCAATAATCGAAAACCCTAATCATAATCATCATTTCTTTCGTGAACACGAGCAAAACCCCTCTTTTTTCACCAAAACCCTAACCCTGCAAAATTTGAAAATTCAAAATTGCTCTAGTACAAGGGGGGCAAAGGCATAGTACTACTTGTTGCGCAATTTGGGAGCTAAACGCAATTAACTGAAAATATAAGGACTGGGCTTGTAAATTCTCTAAGATTGTCTTAAAACACTTTTTAGTTTTTTCAACAGAAACAATAATTATTATATTATTTTACATCATTATATATATATATATATATATCAATAGTTGAGTTAATATAATCAACATAAATCATAGAAATATTTTTACATTATATATATAACAAAATTGTGAAAGGCGGGAACCGAATCGAAGGCAGTTACTGCTTCACAATTAATCGTGCGGCAGTAATTAATTGAAAATAAATTGATTTTTCATATTTAACGCAGTATATATATTAATATATTATTTGACAATATTCAAAAAATATATATAAAGATATTTAAACATGGTTCTATAATAATAAGGTAACAATACAATGAAAATCCTTAGCAAATACAACTTTTACACTAAAACAAATGCTTGAACATCCAAAGCATATATCATTAGTTCATTTAGAGGCAATAATTAAAATAAAGCATAAACTATTTTTTATTTTATTAAAATCCCAATTGTTCATTTGGATAAAAAAAACAAAATTCGAAAATCGATTTTTGCCATTAAAATTCGACCCCGCCTCTAATACTTGATCACCTGGGACAGCGTACAGGCCAAAATCCAAATTTTCAAACATTTATTATTATTATTATTAGTATTTTGTATTAATTATTTTTTTATTTTTTTATTTTTTTTTTGAGAAAAAGAACAAATAATAATTAATTGGTAATAAAAGCTTGATGGAGAATAGTGGGCCGGGCCATTTTATTCAAAACCCGAAACACGTGGAGCTGGATCCATATTTATAAAAGTCCAGTAAAAATGGTTATGCTAGGGCTAGGGTTTTAGGGTTTTCTTCTTCTTCTTGCCTTTATATACAAACGCCGAATCCATTTTCAGCGCCTCATTTACAGTTGCTGCACTCCAGATTTGCTTCTCCACCTCTCTCCACTCTGTAAATCAAAGGTTCTTCTTCTTCCTCTTTCTGTTGTAATTTGATTATATGCTTTTTCCGCATCAATTTTTTTTTTTGGTTAAATCGTTTCTGTAGTAACTGAATTTATATCGGAATGCAGTGTTTGTATGAACATAATCGATGAATTTTTCATTTTGATCTTGGGATTTGTTATGTTGAATATGTGGTTTTAGAATTTATTTATTTATTTTTAATCTGATTTTTAATAGCATTTCATAAGTTTTGTTCATCTACTGTGGAATTATTTACCAGCATTTTCCTGATATCGGTTCATGATTTTACTCTGTTAAAAGAATATTCTTTTGGTATTTATTATTTGAATGCTGCACTATTAATTCTGAAAATTTGCTGCTTTAATTATGTTTCCAGACGAACTGATTTGCTTTATGTCATTTGTTTTATGGCAGATTTCAATCGAAGAACCTCGTTAATCCGAACGCAAGATGTCTGGGTAATATTTTTTGTTCGAACTGTCGCTGTGTGTCCTATGTTTATGTATAATTTGTAATTCATTCCAGTTTCATGATCTTAAATGAGTGCTGTGCCAATTTATTGTTTTGATTATACATGGGCAATTTATTTATAGATAAATCATGAACTTGTAAGCCGAATTGTAACGAAATTCATATGACATAATATATAGGTGAAGTTTGGATAAATTGAATAGATTTTTGTTTTAACTTTCATGGGCTTTCATCCCTGTATGTATAGTAGGTAATATATTTTACGACTTAATGATCTGAAATGAGGGCTATATGTACATGATGATTTATGATTTATTTGTAGCTAAATCACTCGTTGATACGTTAAATGGTAGTGTAATTTATATCAGATACTACAAAGATAAAGGTTGACTAAATCAATTAGATATTTGTAGATGGTTTTATACTAAAAGATCGATCAATTGAATTTGCAGAGAAGAGCCTGTTGTAGTTGAGACCCCAGCTCCCGCCCCAATTCTGGGCGAGCCAATGGATATTATGACAGCTTTGCAGCTTGTGTTGAAGAAGTCTTTGGCTCATGGTGGTCTTGTTAAGGGCCTCCACGCATGTGCAAAGGCTATCGAGAAGCATTCAGCTCAGCTCTGTGTGTTGGCTGAGGACTGCAACCAGCCCGATTACGTTAAATTGGTTAAGGCTCTGTGCGCTGACCACAATTGCAACCTAATCACTGTTCCGAGTGCCAAGACTCTTGGCGAATGGGCTGGTGTAAGTGCTTTTTGCTGAGTTTGTTTATTTTTTGTTTGGTGCTTTATATATTCAATTTTTGTTCTATGATGATAGTTAGACGAGATAATTGGAATGAATTTGGCAATAATGAGATGTAGAATTTATAAAAAAATCTAGTCGGATTCACACTTGACAAAAGGGGTGATATTGGGACTCTTATTTAGACTTTGTATCAATTTGATTTATAGTTGATGGTGTATCTAGTTGAATTTACAAACTTGACAACATACGGTGATGACGGAAGTTCTTGAGCCAGTTGTCGTTTTTGTGTAGTACGAAACATTGAGATGGTATTTGATTTGTAGTGTTGAGTTTTTTGCCTCTGCAGTTGTGCAAGATTGATTCCGAGGGGAAGGCCAGGAAGGTTGTCGGAGCCTCTTGCCTTGTCTTGACGGTAATATTTCGAATCCCTAAACCATTTTTATCAAATTTTTATTTATTTGTTTGTAATTTATATTTAATCAAAAAAGTCGAATTTATCGTGTAGGATTTTGGTGAGGAAAGTGAAGGTCTCCACATCGTGCAAGAGTACGTCAAGTCTCACTGAGGGGGATTAGAGCATTGCAATGAAGCTATCCAAGATGTTCTAGGCAATAGAAAGTCCCTTTTATTTATTATGCTTTTTCTAAATTTTCCATGCGAAATTTTTGATCTTGTTGATGGACCATTCAGTCGTTGGATTATCTGATTTAAGTGCCTGTTTGTTGGTATATTAAATTAACGACGAATTTGATATTTTGTGTTCGTGTTTTTTCTAGTGTTTATTTTTTACCCTAACTAAAATATTTCGTTAACTAAGTCTAAGATGATTTTCAACAAAAGTTCAAACTATTGGTGAACTCCGATGTGATAACTTGATCGAAGTTTCTAAATTAATACTAACAACAGAATTCTGGTACGAGAATAACACGATAATATTGTTGAAACTATTTCAACGCTTCAGCACTCGGTGACACGAACATCTATATTACACATCAGCGGTTGGAAGAAGGTGAAAAAAAAACAGTAAACGATAGAAGTAAACATATGTACTACGATTTAGTTGTGATTATGGTACATCGTAGATTACGCAGCTTCACTTTTTACCTTCAGCTGTCGGAAGATACACACCCTCTGCTGCCAACCAAACATTATCAGCTCGTTTTTCCCTAACACCGCAAACCTGCAAGAATTGTAACGCCACAGTAATTAAAAAAAATGTCTGAGCCTTGTACTGAAAAGCATTATGACCGTGTAATAATAATAATTTAAGGTTGTTTATTTCTTACCTCTTGTTGACCCCCAGCTATACGTGTATATTTCTTGTCGTGGCTGTGAAGGTATCCACCAGTATCTACATGATGAAGCCTCACCCTTTGATCTTGTCTCCAAGTCTTTCCATTTCCCTCGATTTCAAGTCTGAAGCACACACAAACAAGAATTTATGAAATGAAATGAAAGTTCCATTGAAAAAAAGTTCAGGAAGGTTCTGTAACAGAAGGTCTCACCTCCAGTAATCCCCAGTGTCGGACTCTCCATCACTGCCGAAGCAACTCACCTGTATGTTTCATTTTTCGTGTTTATAAGCTATTTAAGGCAATGAAATTAAATTACAATACGGTTAGATAAGTTCATAACATGCTATAGCAATGTCGAAGCGGGTCGGTATAAGATTTTAACAAGATTGTTAATAACAATGCCGAATACATGCACCCGAACTAATGAGAATAAATGCTTACAACACACATTGACTACGATTAATACAAGAGTAAAAAACTGTTCCGTTTTGGTCGACTGTCGGAATAGAAAACACATTACGACAAAACAGATTTAGATTGACAATGAAAGACACCACTTGAGCATCACGGGTCATCTCGATTTTGTTCGGTAATCATAGTCAGATAGATTCATATGGAAAACACATGAACACCACAAAATCCATAATTGGACAAGAATCGAACTCGTTGAGTTCAAATATCCAATAGAAAACTACAAAGAAAATAAACGATGCACACACATAGCGTAATTAAAAATTTCACGCAAGCGACGAGGATTGTTTGAAATAAAAACGAAATACTAACCTCCAAATTGCTAGATATGGGAGATGCGTGCAAGTGGCTGTGCAACCACTTCCTAGTCCTCATATGTTGCAACCTAATAACGGTTCCACCTTTTATCGTGTCACCTTGCTTTGCCAAAGAATCCTTTGTAGATCTGACAATCTGCAAAATCGGGGCAACTCCAGTTTCAGACACTCTACCTAACTGACACTTGTAATGGAAAAAAAAGAAAGAAACGAAATCGAAGTGGAGTAGCATAACATACCCAATAGCTATTAGCATCATCAACATTTGGGAAACCAGTAACAGACTGCTGGCCACTGCCTGAGCCATAAGGAACATCATGCGAGTGCAGCCGATATTTTGTCCTCTCGTGCATCAGCTTAATTACAGATCCATATGTTATCTACAAAATATTGAAAAATACATGTAGCGATATATATATATATATATACATATATATATATATATATATATATATATATATATATATATATATATATATATATATATATATATATATATATATATATATATATATATATATATATATATATATATATATATATATATATATATATATATATATATATATATATATATATATATATATATATATATATATATATATATATATATATGTGCAAAGTAGCCTAATTAGCTTCGTCACCTCGTTAATTGTCGTTATTATTAACTTCCTCGATTATCTATTGCTGCTGAAACCCTAAAACAATTTTTTAATCAAGTTAAGGAGCATATAAAAGGTGGATAATTAGGTTATTACCCCAAATTTATCAAATAACATCACCTCTATATTTATGCAATCACAAATGTTCAAAAAATCCACTGCAAAAATGAAATTCAAGAGTGAATTTCCTTAAAATTCGAGTTCTAACTCCTCAAAATCAAACAACTGAAATACCACATTTTGCAATACTAAAATCGCCCAGTCGAATAATCAAACCTATCAAATATGACCTATCTCACAACACACTGCGTAAATGAAGTATCAATTGGGCGATCGATCACTTGCCTGAACGCCTTCCGACGCGGCGGCGACAGGCGCCGCCGCATAATCGGAGTCGAGTGTTAGCAGCAGGAAAATTGCCAGCGCGAAAAAGGACACGGCCATTACCAGCAACAGCACTACGAACCAAGTCTTCTGCCAAAACGGCACTTCCGAATCGAAATCCGACGAGTGGCCGACGGAGTGCCTGTACACTATTCGGGTCGGACCCGGTGCGGGGGTGGGGGAGGAGGCGGACGCCGGTGTTGATTTTCTACGGGTGAGGTTGCTCTGTGGATGCTGCGAAGCGGTAGGAGCCACGATTGAAGCTTCTAAGCGGCGCCGGAGCTCCGATGAGAGGAAAAAGGGGGCCGGCTTATGTTAGCAAAATTGGGTTTTTTCTTTTAATCGAACTATGAGAAATGTTGTGTGTGCCGTTTGGTTTTCCTCCGTTCTCACACCGCGCGTGCGCGACACTGCACCTGGAAATTATACTTCTTCCACGCGGAGACTTGATGACGTGGAAGTTTCTTATTGGATGACGTTGTGTGTCCACGCGGTTGTTTATATATGAAATAGTAAATTCATAATTTTTCGTTTTGCATTAAAAAAATATTTTCACTCCCCAGTAACCTTAGTTTAATGTTTCTCGAAATTGATTATAAGCTTTGCTTGGTACTACTTTGTATTTTGTTAGCATTCCAAAATTAGTTTTTTTATTAGCATTTTCTTTTCTGGGAATTGTTTTTTGCGGTTTGAAAATTGCTATTTGCGGTTTTTGACAAAACCCCCCAAAAAAACATTTTATTTCACTAAAACCCAAAACTTTCCAAAAAAATCCAAAAACCCCCCCAAAACGCCTAAAAGCCCAACTTGGGCGCCCATTAATGCAGTGCACGCCCAAGTTGGGCGTGCAAGCTGCATTTGGGCGCCCGAGTTGGGCGTCCAGTGCAAAATTTCTTTTTTTTTTTTTTTTTTTTTAAATTGTCGAACGCCCAAGATGGGCGCC